TGTCCAGACCAACGTTGCCCCCAACATTTTTGCTTGAGATGACCCTTTTTGGTGGAAATGTTCACTTCCCTATCTTTTGCCCAAATTCTTATGCATTTCAGACTGACGCAATGCTTCTCACATTGGTGGCGAGAAAATATATGTCCAAGGCACAAGCCCATGCTAATTATCTCCGGTTGTGATCAAAGGAAAGAGGACAAAGAACAAAGCTTTCTTCTCCCAACAGCTCTCCAAAGGAATTTCAGATGGCTCACAACTGATTGCCTCAATTTTCAAGAGTTACGCCTCTTCATAAGCAGAACGCCTCTAGGATCTCACAGGGTTGGTGCAGAGGTCAATTTATGCTTCTGGTTCTGCATTCAGTGCCTAAGCCATCCTAATCATCCTTTCCCCTCCATTCCTCTAATTTGGAGGCAAATGGGTTAGCTCTGGAGTTGCTTACATTCTGATTAATGTCTGCAGAGTTAGTGTTAAGACATACAAATCCAAAAGCCTTGAGGAAGAGGGATTTTAGCTTTCCAGCAGTGTCTTGAAGCCCACACTTCCCAGCCAAGGAGCCACACACGCAGTGCTCTCCTCTGGAGCCACATGCTAAATCATTTAGTGGTCCGGGCTGAGGGAACAAAGTGAATTGCATATTAAAGAGCACTTGAAGCAGCGAGTCATGATGAGACACGGAGAAAACAACCAGCTGTGAATACAGAAAGTGTTAGCCAGCACAAGACACCTCGTAGAAGAGGACACGGGAGGCAGACACTTTGAACACAGGTACTCAGAAATAACCTCTCAGAGGGTGTTTAGTGATGCTGTGGGATGCTGTAAGCTCAGTCGCTGCCAACTGGTTCATTTTACAAGCCCTAGTAACCACCGGGAATGGGGCAAATCAACATTAGAACAGCACAGAAGTATGGTCTGCCCAGAGGTGGTCAGGCTGTTGCTCTTGAAGTACACAGGCAGTTCAAGCATGACTTAGAAAAGCTACTCATGGTCATCAATTTGGGCTGGCACGGGACTGCCAGATAAGCCGAAACTAGGGGGATTTCCCTGGCAATTAAATGCTCAAAGAGTAAAAATGGCAACTGAGTAAAATCCTTCGAGTAGAAGAGGTGTTTCTTCAAGTTCAGCAAGCGCAACGGCTATGCAAAGGGTGGGCACTGCTCCGTGCAGATCCATCACACTTGAGTGTTCCCATATTGCAGGGAAAGGCATGGTTGTATTTCTGGGGTACATTTAGGGATGTCAGTGGCTTGGTTGGGGATGTCATTGGCTTGGTTAGGCATGTCAAGGGCTGCTGACTTCCATCCTGTAGTCATCCCAAAGCCAGGCTCTCCTCCAGACCATAATTTACCTACTTAAAGCATCTCTTCAGCCTAAGACTAGAGGTGTTCAGCAGTTGTTGAACAAACCAAGTAGTTCAATACTGTCAGCAGTGTTTTCTGTCCCAGAGCTATCTTCACTTAACACTAATGATTAATCACTATTACAACCGGTGTATCACTAGAGACCTGGCTTATAATTATTGTCATGCTGACAGAAGGGTAAACTGAGTCTTTAGCCTGAAAAATGGCTTGTCCAGAAAGCCACTTGGGAAGTCATTGGGAAATGTGGGAATGGGTGCAGTTCCACGGCAGCCTTCGGTCTCCAGCTCTAATCTACTTCACCGTCAAAAAAAGACACAAGCAAAGACCTGAGCAACGATTTTTAACCATATTCACAAGTGCTTTTTCACTCATTGCCTGACAGTGCACAAGAACGGGGGAGAGAAAGAAGCCCCCTGACATTCTGCTTGCACTGGAGTTAGCGACACATACACTCAGAACACTTCATGTGATGCGTATGAACCCAGGAATGGATGCCAAGGGTTGCAGTCACAGCTATGTGTGCCATCTGCCTTCTCCTCAGAGGGACAGAGGTACCTGGGATGCTGAAGGGAGCAGGAGACAAGCCCATGTTTTTCATTGTGTCTTTCTCCTGCGAAGAAGTATGGGCTAGAAAAGGAGAAAATGGGAAATCTCAGTGCCTCTAAAAGGATTGCACTGGCAACTGTTTTGTCCATAGATCACCCACGTCACATCCACTGAGGACAAGCTGGGCAAGAGTGGTCTAGGATCACAGGCAGAGAAACACACACATATATATACAAAGCCCTTATTTTCTGCAGAACTACACCAAAATTATTTTGGTATATTGGCTTTTAAATTGCTGCCTTCACTGCTCACAGGGTAATCTTGTTCTTATCTCCTTAGCAAAACGTGCAAGCAAGGCCTGACTACCTCTTCTCTCTCTCCTTGAGTATCCATATCCTCATATTTTTGTCCCCTGAATCTTCTTAAGGATGTTTCCCCAGGTCACTAAACATTTCCATAGCCTGCTTCTCTTCTGGTATTTGCTGCTAACGGTGTAGTGCTGAGAACAAAATCCATATTCTGGTGCACTGCTTTGCATCACCACGCTCCATGCAGCAGCCTCCCGTTTTACGTTGGCCAGCTTTGCCCCGTGAGCAAAGGATATCTCAAGAAACGTTATTTCTTTTACCCAGACTGCCTGTTGCTCTCCATTGGGCTCAGTGGACATGTGGAAGAGATGTCTGGAAAGAGGGAAGGGGAATAACAAATGACCTGCAAATTAAGACAAGAGAGTGAACTTCCCAAACTATAGCCTATAAAAGGTGAGGAAGTTCAGTTTGCAAACTTTTCACTTCCATGCTCTAAACCCACAAATACAGAATACAGTAACATAACAAACATAGTACACCGATGTTGTAAAGCTTGAAACAAATGAATGGGCCACATTGAAATGCTAATTACAAACCCGATATACTGCATTTTGATTTTGTGTGACTCCAACGCGTTCCCATCAAATCCATTCTCAAAAGTGACCTGCCCTCTCAAAACACAAATACCTTTGAAACAACATACAGCATCAACATGTTTGCATCAGACCCACTTACAGCACAGAAACATGAAACAAACATTTCTTTTCTCACCCTAAATATTGAATGGTGTATGTTGTAGCAAAGACAAATTCATTTTAATGAATATTTTGACGTTTTAATAAGGAGGAAAATGTCTCTTTCCTGTTTATTACTTTGCAGCTACATAGCTGGTCTTAATTTGCAGAACTGATGCTTCCCGATAGCAAAGTGAACCACTTTCACTATCTCAATTTACAAGTAAGGAAACTGAGGCATGAAGCGCAAACTTTCTTTCCCCAAATCCACTGAGTAAAGGAGAAGCAGGACAGATCAAAACCCATAGCAGCAGTATCCTGCTGTAACCACCAAGTAGCATCGCCTTCGTTTAACACAGAGCATTATCAGTTTGCAAATGCTGCTGATGGAAAAGACCCACTGGGTCCTTTTGTTGTTCCCTGTAAGTGCAGGCTTTGTTTTCATGCCATGTGCTGCAGAGTGCTTTATACAATCCCTACATTAAAATAATTCAGTCAGGAGGACATCTCTCACTTCCTTTGGTGGAAACAATTCTGTAGCTGAATAGATTGCAGCATTAGGAAATATTTCCTGATGTCCATCCCCTGCCAGTTTCTAGAATCTGTTGATATATTATTAATAGAAAGGAAAATAAATATAGGTATTAATGCCGGCAGACACTGTCTACTACTAATAGCTGCTGAAGTAATATATTCCCCTTGTTTTTAGCTTTTATTAGTCTTTTCGCAAAGGGTTACAAGACCCTTATGCATCCATTAGCCAGTCAGCCATGTGAAATTAATGTGGAGCAATTTTCATAAGCGTTACTCAGAACTAATAATAATTAAGCATTATTTTCTGCTCAGATAACACAGAAAATAAAGTCTGACTTTTATGCCAAGATGGGTTTGCATTAGCTTAAGGTAGATGAATTAATTCTCATTTACAAGGCTTCTCCACCAGCTAGCCAGAAAATATCAAGGTAATTAAAACCAATTTGTGAGGTTCTGTCCCATTGCACATTCACTGAGTTTTATCAGTGTTGCAAATTACAGGTGCTTTTATGCGGTTGCAAAGGTGGGACGTGAAGAAGACCTTGCTGCTCGTCTCCCTCCCCACCACTTCCAAGAAAAGCAGCCTCTTGTGAAGACCGGGATGCATTTTGCAATGCATTTTGTTGCTGGAGAACCAATGAAGGACCATGCGTTGCAGGAAGGGCCAGCTCAGTCCCAGCTCAGGCTGGGATGAGGAACACTCAGCAATGCATGTAAAAGGCCTCTAACAGAGAAAAAATATGCTTTTTGCTTTTGATTTATCATTTACTTGCAAGGGATTAATTTTGGCTAATTACAAAGCTGAGGGACTTCTGTAGACAGCATTTTATGGATAGCTCAGGAACAGTCCTCTTCAGCCAGACAGATTTTTCTCTATTGCTTTTAACAACCAAAACCCAGCATTTGCAATCCAAAATATATAACGCTAATTAAATGATACTACACTTCCCAACACTGCCCAAAGGATTTATTGTCCTTTTTGTAGCTCAAGAAGACACTGAATTTGACATGTAGTCATATCCCAGAAGCTTGACATATCACCTGAGCAGCTGCTGTGATCTCTGAAGATGCACTTAGCTTGGGTCAGCTGCAAGTTAGAAGATGCATGAGGTGAGCTGTAAAATACATCAATCCAGAGCTATCCTACCAACAGCAAAGATAAGATCCAAGTGAATAAGTTAAAACCTTTCTTAGAGTTTCAGCTTTCCAAGGGGAACATCTCCTTCAGATGCTGCATCTTGACTTTGCATGTGAACTTAGCAAGTAACTGGGCCTGATGTGACCCACCCGTGGGGAAAATGTGTGTTTTTCAGAGGATTATGGCTTCCCTTGCCTGTGTCCTGGCTCTCTCGTTTCCTCTCTGGCCTCTCCATTGCCCTGTCTCATTGCAGCGTCTCATTTTGGTGCCTGTGTCCACATCAGTGAGATGAAGCAGGTTGACTTGAGACATGACTATACGGGTCATCAGCAAAAGAACAAAATGGTAGTTCTTTTATTATTTTTTTAAAAAAACTTCTCTAGACTAATATAAATGCTATTAAAGAGATGAATAAAAGGAGAGAATACTCAAGAAACACCAGCTGTGTCTCAGCCCTGGAAGGAATCACCTCGATATCTGCACCATTATCTAAGCCTTCCATGAAGAAAGGTTTTCCACTTATGGCTGTCTTAGTCTTGATCCAGTCACGGTAGCTGTAAACAGACATTAAGATCTCATGGTTTGGCTTTTCCACACAATCTTCTCCCCAGCTGACGATGCCGACTTGAAACCACTTCATGGTGTTCCAGTGGCTGCAAACCAGGGGTCCCCCGCTGTCCACCTACGGCATAAGGAGGATGTTATAGCAGGATGAAACCTCAGGTCGCTCATGGCAGCTGCATCCCACGGCCTGATTGGGAAAATCAAACTGTATCCTGAGTTTGTGAGGATTTAGGGGAAGAAGAAAATTTTGGACTCTAATTTCATAGCTCAGCCCTGAGGTCCCTGAAGAATTAAATGGATACGGAAGATAAGAGGAGGAGACCAGTCACAAGCTCTGGCTCAGTGCAATGCCCTGTCCTTTTCAGCCTTTTCCACATGCTCCCGTGGCCCCAGAAGGATACTTGAATCCTGTCACCAAGAAGCAGCATCCAGGAGTGAAAAGGGACATTTGCTGTGACTGCTCATTCAGTCTTTGACTTCTCTGCAAAACCAGAGCATGTAGGTGCTGGGTACCTGCCACTGTTAATTTTGGGGACTAGCATGCAGAACTTGGACAAAAATGAACACTAATCCTGACAAATCCTTCTTGAAACCACACTAATTTCACTGAAAACTGCCTGCTACTGCAAGGACACGCACACAGTGCATGCAAGCCTTCAAACGCACATTGCAGCCACGACGCAAAGCAAAGGGGAATGTCCAGTAGCTTGAACACGGAGAGCACACCCAGTTGCCCGTGTGACCTCTGTGTGCAATCTCCGAACACGACCCGAGGGAGAAGCCAGCACAAAATCCACCCAGCCAGGCAGAGCATTTCTCTGACTCGTATGTACATCTGAAACGCTGTGCGGCCCCTGTTCTAAATAAGACAGTTTCCTTCCACAGTGGGCTTGGATCTGTTTTCTACCCCATCTCCAACGTGGCAAATAAGAAATTCGATACAAACCCATTTCCTGAGACAGCCAGCTTTCCTGGGAAATGCTGTCCTTCCCTCTTTGCACACTACTTTTTGAGAAATGTCTTTGTCAGTAATGTATGAACCCCCTTCCGCCAGCAGCTACCCGGAGCTAACACATTAATTAATTAATGAGTAAGGAAGTAGCTGCAGTCCCCTGTGTAACTCATCAGCACCTGCTAAAGTTTATGGCAGAATTCCTACTCACTTCATCAGATGGAAGGTCCAGGTCCATAATATGTTTATCTTTTTTATTTCTTTTAGGGTTCAACAAGCATACAGGAGGGAAAAATAAGATAAAAACAGAGCAAACACTGCTCAGCATTCACAGAATCATAGAATCACAGAATAAATCATAGAATCATTGAGATTGGAAAAGACCTTTAGGATCAAGTCCAACCGTAAATTCAATACTGTTCGCAGTGAAATGGTGTTACTACGTGTCTGCATCTCAGCCAGTGCTGCTGGGCCCTCTTCAGACTCATGATCTAAAGACGTTTCCGAACCTGTTTCAGCCCAGAATGTGCGTGAATCACACCAGTGACCTTGCAGTGACCTTGGATCCATGTGTTATTGGTGTCTTTGGCCATGGCATCCTGTTTGAATGAATGAATGAACATCTAGGCTGTACGCACAATTAAATTACTGGGAACTTTACTGCTAATTCCCTCAGGGCAGGAACAGGCCAAACGTATTATCCTGGTAGCGAAAAGGAAGGCGCTTCGAGCCTCCTACTCAAAGATAATAAATGAAGTCAAGAGAGTGGGAGCCGCTCGCAGGCCAGTGACGCAGCAAGGGCTGATGGTGCTATGTCGGGATGCATCGTGCCGGCTTTTCCCAGCACAGGAGACGTTTAGCACTGGCAGAGCCCCTGCACAGCATCGGGGCAGATTGGTTTCAGAGCATCCAATTTGGAGGCTGTTCACACTTGCAAAGGACCTTTCTCCCAGGGCGCTTAAATACCAGCTAATTCCTGATACCTTGTGACTGTCCTTGGAGGGAGAAGTCTTATCGTATTTCATAGCTGAGAAAACCACAGCAGAACAGGGATGCGATTTGCACCAGGCAATGGCAGAGCCAGGGATCCCTATTTAAACTATACATCACGCGGTCTTCCTTTCAAATCAGATCTGCTTTTCCCTGTTTGCCTCTTTAATCATGTTCATTTTGTTCTGTGCCCAGCCGGCGAGGAAAGGGAGAGCTGTCTGCAAGGCTTGGGGGACTGTCAGCTGCAGAAAGCGACTTAAAACGTGGGCAGAGAGACAGTGAGGCAATGCTGTGAAAACCCAGGCAGCAGCTGCAAATCTGTTTCGCTAATCCACAAGCCCCGAGACCCAAATCCTGCTTCAGGTCCCTTTCCACACGGGCTGAGCTGGTCTGCTTCATGGGTGCAACATCTAACATGCCATTTGTCTTAACTTCAGCTATTTAACACGATGATTTTATCACAATGTGGGCTAAATCATCCTCTCCGTCTGATAATCTCGCTCACGTAATTATAGCAATAGCCCAGATGAATCAGAAGGCTGTTTTTTATTGGGCTAAAGATAGAGAAAATAAACTCTGTTCTTGGGCAATTCTGAATATCCTCGTATCCACCTTAAGCTCTGAAAAACGTTGTCCCAAGCTTTTCCATCCTTGTGTAGGAGAGGGTGTGGGAGGAGCGAGTTTTGTGCACTGGTACAATTAGCCCTGTGATGTTTCCAGTAGCACTAATTTAATGAATTCTCAGGTTAACGACTCTGAAGATCGAAGAACTTATTAAATGCTGCTTCCAGCCTCCTGTATCCTGGTGGTGAAAGACTTGTGGTCAGCAACACAAACCAGATACCTGCTCCTGCTCTTCCATCTGTGTGCCAAGTTTCTGGACAGCAAAAAACCTAAAAATAGCATCTCAGCTTCTGCTGCATGTTTCTTATCAACTAGACGATGAGTGAAAAGCAACCACATCCAATCAGATCTGGTGCTGGATTCATGCCTTCCACAACTGCATGTTAATGCTTCCATTAGGAGAGGTGAAAGCAACGATATATTCGGTGATAAATAGTTCTGGCTCGTATAAAAACTGTCACCAACTAACAAGGCGCTTTGTGCACTGGAGCTGATCAAAAGTTTCATCCCTTTCACTGCGGCCAAAGCCTTTTTGTGAACATCAGGAGCCTTTCTGCTGACTTTAGCGGGCTTTGGATCAAGAGTGTAATCTTCTTCCTTTTGTATTTGTATTCGTGTCTGCAACATGGTAATTGATCAGAACAAACACGTTCAGCCACATAAATCTTCTTAGGTGGGAGAAGCTCTGGGGGAGGGAGAACAACCCATCTGATACTCATTAGGTGGATACACAATCCTTGCAAGTCATTGCTGGTTTCATTTTCGTGTGGGCAAGCTCTGAGTAAATTGGAGAGAATCAGCATGTGAATAACAACACTTGCCATTAGAGCTGCCCTGGCTGCAGGAAATAAAGGCTTTTGCAAACAGATGATTTCTTCAGTTATTTCGCTGTGAACAAGCTGTCTTTAGAGATTGGATGGAAAGAAGGAGGCTAGGGGCATTTTTAGCATGCCAATATCGAAAATTAACCAGGCAACAGAGGGCACCTGGACTCCTTTCATGGGATCCCTTTGACATCTCAGGTGAGAGCCTTCAGGTACTCTGTCCCTTCATCCTCTTGCTGGAAAAAGGGAGAACAATGCTGCCCTATCTCCATCCACACAGGTATCAGCAGGGTCCATTAGTAACTGTGTTGGCAGGGACTTAAAGGCAGCTATAAGGCATCCGGCCGAAGACCCATGTGGCCCAGACTCCTGTCTCTGACAGTCCTCTGCAGCGAGTGCCCAGGGAAGGAGAATGAGAAACAGGGGGAGTATTTACAGAGTTGTATTTACATCACAGTGGTTAATAGCCTTTGAGAGATCTTCATCCAGGAAGTTATCTAATTGCTTTTTGAATCCATTTATCCCTTAGGATAAATACCCACAACATCCTGGTCAGTGACTTCCATAGTTTAATTATCTGTTGGATGAAAAAACATTTCCTTCTCTTTGTTTTACATCGGCTGCCTGATACAGCCATCTGACACCCCCTCCTTCGTGTGTTTTGCACAGTAGTGACAAGAGGACAGCCCTTGACTGGCCTCTCCTTGCTGCTCATGGCTGTGTCACATCCCCATCAGCCATCTCTCTTACAAGCCTCAGAGTCCTGCTCTGTTATTCCCCTTTCTGCCAGAAGCCATGCCGTGCCCCTGTTCATCCCTCCTACTCTACTCTTCTCCTTTTCTAAAACTACTACTATGGGGTGGATGAGAATCGCACAGCATAGGCTCCCAAAATTAGTGCCCTGGCATAACACGCATTTGCTTTGCTACCTATTCCTTTCCTAATGATTCATAATGCTCTCATTGCCTTTTTAACCTCCACAGAGCCTCATTCTGATGTTTCTGAAGGTCTATCCACAGTTACTCCAAGATCTTCTTACATGGTAATAGCTACTTTAAAGCCTATTAGTGCATGCTACAGCTGGAGTTGCTTCTCCCTATATTCATTACTTCTCCTCTATCAAGAGTGAACTGCATCTGCTGCTTTAACCTCCAGCCACTCAGAATAATGAGATCCTGCTGCACCTCTGCACAGTCCGTTTTAATTTTGACCACGCTGAATAATGCTGTGGCGTGGGCCAACTTGGCCGTCTCAGCATTTGCCCTCCTTGAACATCACAATTCCTTGCACAGATGCCAACACAACTCCCCTTCGGAGTCCTTTCTCCCATCAAATCCTTCCTCCATGTTGCTTCCCTTTCAAACTGAAGCCCCTCTACTTCATGACAGTTCAGTTTCTCCATGAGCCTTTGGTAAGATATCTCATTAAAAGAGTTTTGGAAGTCTCAGCGTGTTAGATCAGCTGGATCACTCTGTGCCACATGCTTGCCGACTCCTTCAAAGAATTTAAATCTGCCTGTGAGTCATGACTTTCCCTTAAAGCTGTGTTGACTCACCATAATTGCATGAGAAGTGGCCCCTCTGAGTCATCACACCCATTCCCCCACTCCCAGGGCAAGCACAAAGTAGGGTTTTGTGTTCAGCTGGATCCCGAGATGTTCTGCACCCCACAGCTTCACTCACCAGGTACACAGAGGAATGCTGGACCCCCTTGTTGCAAACCAAACGG